TATTACATTTAGTTGTCAGGTCATCTTAAGTAACTTTTCATCTAAAGCATTTCCCTTTCACTGCTTCCTTTGTTTTTCAATGTCATTGACTTATTTCAGACTAAATTGGGTCAGTTATCCTATAAAATGTCCCACATTCTCGATATATCTATTTGCTTCCTCATGTCACTAACAAGTTTCTCTACCCCCTATTTCCTTTAAGTGAAGTTAGCTCTGGAACATCTCTGCTCGATATAAGTTTCTGTGATGATGGAAATAATTCTTCTTGCACTATCCAATACAATAGCCCCCTAGCAACATGTAGCCATTGAACACTTTAAATTGTGACTAGTGAGCCTGGTTGGAGTGGCTCAGTGGTTGAGTATCTACCTATGAACCAGGAGGTCATAGTTTGATTTCCAACCAGGGTACATGCCTGGTGTCTGGGTTGCAGGCTCGATCCCCAGTGTGGGGCATACAGGAGGCAGCCAATCAATAATTTTCTCTCATCATTGAAGTTTCTGTCTTTCCCTCTCCTTTCCTCTCTGAAATCAATAAAGATTTTTTTTTTAATGTGACTAGTGGGGGTGGGGAGTGAAGAATTGAATTTTAAATTTAGTTTTAGTTTATTTAAGTTTAAATATATGTGTGTGTGTGTGTGTATATATATATATATATATATATATTTGTAATCATGAGATTCCACCTTGTCACCTTGTCAGGGAGAGTGGCCTGGTTGGGATTTGTAAATCTGTGTGCCTATGCTAATCCGTACATATAGTGAATGACATCCTAGATAAAGAGTATTGTGAGGAAAGAAAAGGGTCTAGAAATGTTGCTTAGGCAGGTAGAGGAGGATGAACAGAGACAGAGGAAGAATAGCCAAGGAGTTGGAGGGAAACCAGAAGAGGGCTATGTCCTAGAAGCCAAGCAAGAAGAGCCCAGTTTTATCCAGGAGAGTTCAGTTGAGCAAGGAGAGTCCAGTTAAATCTAAGAAGAGCATAAGATGGGATATAGAGTCTCTAGAAAGTCTGTGTTACAGGGACAGTGACATGGCAGGATATACCTGGATTCAAGTGTGGCTGCTTCCCTGTAGTTAGCTGTGTGGCCTTGGGCAAAAGGCCATCTGATCTCATTCTACAAATTCTGCATATATAAAATAGGGATATCTTCCTCAAAAAGTTATTGTGGGGGTTAAATGAATTATGCATATGCAATGTGTCTAGCACTTTGTAGGTTCTCAATAAAGACTGATTCATCCCTGCTGAAACCGGTTTGGCTCAATGGATGGAGCGTCGGCTTGGGGACTGAAAAGTCCCGGGTTCAATTCAGATCAAAGGCATGTTCCTTGGTTGTGGGCACATCCCCAGTCGGGGGTGTGCAGGAGGCAACTGATCGATGTTTCTCATCGATGTTTCTAGTTCTCTATTCCTCTCTCTTTCTCTCTGTGAAAAATCAATAAAATATATATATATATAAAAAGACTGATTCATCCCATTTTGTCTCTGACCACTTATTCATTTGTTTGACTCATTCTCCTTGATTGATGACTTAGCTGTGGTGTTGATGATGACTCACTTGTAAGGTTCAACACAGGTCTGTTCCTCATATATCACTATACTTGTCTGCATGCCAGCAAGCTGTTATGAGCTGACAAATCAGTGCTCTGGATACTGTAGGGAGTCAACCACCCACTTATGTACCTTTTGATCTGTAGACAGAGCACCCAGGATTGGATAAGGACACAATATATACCCTTCTTCATCATCATATTCATCATACTCAGTTTTTCCCTTCCAGGGAAAGGAACTCCAATTACCAAATGAATACCTAATTTTTGTCTCAAGACATCGTTTTGCACTTGCATTTTGCAATTATATAAATCTCTAATACAAAATATTAATAATAAATGACTCATCACAATTAAATATTTTTAGAGTCAGCCTTGGCCCTGCCAGATTTTTCCAATTTGCTAGAAGCAGCCATTCCCTTAATTTTTATCTGTTAAATACAGTGAATGGGGGGAGGGGAGGAGGGGAGGAAATGCAATTTTCCCTACTGGTTAATAACTCTTGCCCTGCCTGCCACCACTGAGGATTTTTGCAGTGTAAGCCTGGTTCCCAACTACCCATTGGGAGATAATTCATTGTTAAGCCCCCAAAAGAGAGACTGACAATTTCTATTGTGGCTAAAGTGGGATACCTTTTTTAAAACCTCTTTAGAAATTATCCTTATATTTCTAAATAGCACACGTTGAATTTCTTACCGACAGTGTGTGCTTTCCGAACCAAACATGAGGACATAGCATTTCATAAACAAGAAGAGTACCTTTAGGGACAGGCTGCTATGTTAACGGAAACATCTATGTGAGAGAGACATATAGATTGGTGTCCTCCCACACAAACACCCGGGCAGGGGCCAGGAATGAATTTCCAACCCAGATAAGTGCCCTCGACCTGGAATCAAACCGTCGACCTTACGAGGTGCACGTGCCCACGCTCACCGGCCAGGGCCACATCCACTTTTAGACGGACACTGTCAGCATTTGGTGTAAAGGGAACCAGGTCCCTTAGCATCTCCCCACCTGGCCACCATCTCCTCAGTACCTGGTCCTTCTCTCCCTCTAGCGTACAGTCTGGCGAGCGGACCTTGGGACCGGGATTTCCTAGCTGAGCATTGAAGACGTGCATGCACGCCTGCGCCTTAGACCTCGCTGGCGTTCCAAGGTGGAAGATTGCGAGTTTGAGTTTCCATGGCAACGCGACGCTTCCGCCTTCTGGAAGCCTTAGCTCCCGCTCCGGCTGTGTGAGACCCCGTCCGGGAGGGAGGGAACCTGGGCACTGGGGAGCAGATGGGGGTAGGAGGGGTTGTGGGGGCTGGGAAGCTGCTGGGGACATTTGCCCCAGGGACTGAACTAAACTAAGAAAGATCGGTCCTAGGCTCAGCACGAAAGGATCTTTTCATTCCGGTCCTTTCGCCCACGCAGGGAACGATGCCTCTGGAGGTGGTGGTGGAGTTGCAGATCCGGGCGGTAAGAAAGATCAACGAACCTCCCCCTCCCCTGGCCCCCAACTCCTACTCTTCCCCCAGGTTCTGAAAGGGTCCCTGGTCATTCCCACCACCCCCTCCCATCCACCACACAAACATCATCTTCTTTTGGAACAAATAGTACTGTGTCTCTGCGATTTTCCACACTGGTCTTCCCTGACTTCCTGACCTTTACTTCAGCTCAACCTCTTCCCACTTTCCTCCCCCTTAAAGCCACTTGTTTCTTAGCTTTATTTTCTGTTCTTTAAAAATAATCCTGTATTAAGTCCAAGAAGGATTTTATTTTATTTTATTTTATTTTATTTTATTTTATTTGCAGGATAAAGATTTGGGAAAGGTTTAAAAATCTCTTAAATAACCAGGTTAGAATTTTATTTTATAAAGCCCCATCACTTCCTGATAATTTTTCCCTTCTAGGAACCAGTAAAATATTTCAAAGCTATTTCCCCTATTAGCTCTTGTTTGCTAATTCCAAAGGGGAAATCAATCAACTTTTATAATTATCCACTGAATCTTGCTTGCTTAAGTGAGATACTGTGGGAAAGTGACTCCCTTGTTCCTATTTGGGGTCAGTCATTCCGCTTATTTCAGTTCCCGTTTTCTGATCCTTCCATCTGTAGTGACAGGCTGTGTGCAGCTTTGCCTCCTCACTGTAGGGGCTTCTCTCCTGGCCATGATTACAAGCAAAAACACCACACAGGTTATGGCTGTGGAAAATACGGTTAGTCTCTATACAATTGACAAATGCAGTTTCATTACACACGCAGCTACAAAATAAAGAGCAGAATTTCCTGGATGTTCCACTTTGACAGCAAATAGAACCAGGCTGTATCAGCCATGCAATATCAATTTCGAGCTCTCAAAGTGTGTAGTAAGATGAAGGAATTCTTGAGAAGCTGAGTGATAAATCAATCTTCCTCTTCATCAAGGCAAAAATTAAGCACTTTCATTTCATTCAACATTATTGGTTAATTTTATTTTCATTCTTAAAAGGCATTCCTCAGTATACAATTAACAGTGAAATCAGTTTTCTACCCTACGGTACTTGGAATCCTCCAAATATAGGGTGAGTTGATTTGTGCTTATAGCCAGCAAACTAGGCCCCAGCAACTAAGATAGGGAATTCCAGAACTGTATATAGCCAGTACCCAGAGGTAAGCCTAATTTTGAGCCTCTAATATTCAGACTTGTGGACACTGCAAGAAATGTCAGGCTTCCAAATATCTGGCCTTGAATATTGTTACCATTAAACTAAAGGATCCTCTAAGATTAAACAACAAAGCAAACTACTTACTGCTTCAGCAAGTGAAGAGGTAGTCTGTGTTCAGATAAGGGAATGAAAATTTTATTTGAAAAAGCTACTCTTTTATTTTGAAGAGTAGCTATTCCTCTCTCAGTGTGCCTCTCACACTCAGAAAATTTGTTTCCACCCAATCATAGACTACTTGTGACAACCATTCTCCAGATTCCTATGTGCCCTTCTACTAGCATTCAACAGATCAAAGTTTATAATCCATTCTATTTATAAATGTCAAAACAACTGGTCAAAGGTTCTTAAAGTTTCTTTTCTTTAAGAAGAGAAGCATGTAAAGCTTACCCTTTCAGTTTCTCTTGGTCAAAGGATAATGAGCAGAGTCCACTCTACATATGGTGGTCTTGGCTCTTGTGATTTGGGGGGAGGCACCATGAAAAAACTGCTTTAAATGTAAAGGTCAATGTAAATTTAGGAGTCAGTTGTACCTTGTATAGCAGCAGACTCCCCTGATTAATTTCAAATGAAATACTGTTACTTATAGTGTGCTGTGCATAGGGAAACAGAATTCCATATGAAAAACTATTGATACACAAGGTCATCCTTGTGGTATATATGGAAAAGCTCACACTTTTGAATTGCAAAGATTCACATTATTTTCCCATTTTATTACCTCAGTGGAGGAACCCTTTTTTTTTTTTTTTTTTTTTTTTTTTTTTTAATTCAGTAGAGATGACAGGTAGCAGGGCCCCATCTCTTGCCATACTGGTCCATTGACATACTAGTAGTATGTGGTTAGCAACCCCCAAACTCTCAGTTCCCCCTGGACATCTCAGTAGCTTATCTTTTCTGTGTAAGGCCATTGTTCTACCCTTCCTTTTTGTCCTCGAGACTATAGATACGCACGTCTTTAAGCGCATCTTCTTCAAGTAAGTTCCTGGCTTGTTCTCTGAACGCTAAAAGATAATATTAGAGAATAGTGGGAACTAAATATAAATGTAAAGATCTTTTGAAGAGGTAAAAGAAAGATATGTAATATAATATCTCTTCTCACTACCAAGTCCACAAAGATGGAAGAGACAATAAGCTAAAGATGCTTACCAAGAAAATCAAGATTAAGAGGAACTCTCCCCAGCTGTGATAACGGATCTTCGGAGAATAAACTAGAAAAAGCTATGTCTTAGACTCTTAAATAACTAAGAACTATGACTAGTATGCAGCTTATCTGCCTGTATATTCATGGAATGAAGATCCTGTTTCTTTTTTTCAAAGTTCAGTTTACAAGTGATATATTGACATACAGGATCACTGCAAAATACAATTTTTCTGACGTCAGTTTTGAAAAAACAGCAACATTACAATCACCCCAGCTTGGTTTCTTTGCAGTTATCCTGGAGATACAAACAGTTGTTGAATGTATAATAGTGGGATTTCTTTCTTTCTTTCTTTCTGTAATATGGCTGTGGCTTCAGCCTAGCAGCCCATCAAGAGGGACACCTAAAACTCCAAAGGAAGCCTGAAAATGTCCTAAGAGGGCCAAGCGGTGTGGAATGGCTGCTGGTTTATGTCAAGCAGGATGGCCGCTGGGTTACGTCAGCGTGATCGCACGTGGAAAACATTGCTCTCTCCCTCGGTGCCGCAAGGAATAAGACGGTGTTCATTGTTGGCTCCACAGTACAAAGAGGACTGGAGCATTGTGCGGTGACAGCCAGCAGTAGTCCACGACGCTGTACTGCAGGTAGCCCAGAAAAAAGCCACAAGCCACGTCGGTGACATTGTGTCGCCCCAGCATGACCCGGGACAGGCCCAGGATAAAGGCCCACAGCACCACCAGCACCCTCAGCGGGATGGCCAGCACCAGGTGGTTCAAGATGAACCGCGACACCAGGGCGGCCCGGGTGGCATGGCCCGAGGGGAAGGAGTACTTGTCCACCGAGAGGGTCACAAACATGTCCATCTGGTTGTGGGCGGGGCGGCGCCTGCGGACCAGCCCCTTGAGCAGGGACACCAGCAGCAGGTCCAGCAGCAGCGCGAAGAGCAGGTTCATGAGCACCTCGCGCCCGGCCCAGCTGTCGCTCCGGGACAGGCAGTAGAGGGTGCCCAGCAGCCAGGGGATGCCGTGCCCGGAGATCTCCAGCAGCTTCATCAGGGGCCGCACGCTGCCCCAGGACGAGCTCTCCCCGGCGCACACGCCCAGCTTCTTGGACAGCCACAGGTCGATGGCGAGCAGGGAGCGCAGCGCGATGGCCAGGAAGGACGGGTTCAGGTCCAGGCGGCCCTCCTCGGGCAGCGGGGGCGGGGGCGCCTGCGCGGGGGCGGCGCCCGCCAGCGGGAAGGAGCCGCGCCGGTGCACCGGGCTGTCGGACACGCGGAGCCGGGCGCCGGCGGGGGGCTCCCCGCCCGGAGCGCGGCTGCTGAGCAGGGACTGGAACTCGAACCTGCCGCCGCCGCCGCCGCCGTGGGCCGGGCTGCTGGGGCTGCTGCTGCTGGAGGCAGAGACGCCCAGGGCGCCCAGGGCGCGAACCTCCGCGTTCCTCCGGGGGCTCGGCATCGCGGCGGGCGAGCGGCCCGGACCCCAAAACCCGGACGGCCGACGACCAGGCTCCCCGGCCCTGCAGCCTCTTCCGCTTCCGCACGGCTCCCCGGGAGGGGCGGGGAGAGGAGGGAGCGGGAGGACGATTGTGACACCTGGCGGAGACGCGGGATGAAGCTGGCATTCCAATGGGAAGAAGCAGAGGAGTGGGAGGGTGTGATGGGGGGCATCTATCAGGGGGTCGTGGGAGGAGCTTTGACCTTGTCTGTGGTTGGTTAGGGGAAAAGAGAGTCCCGTTTAAAAGCAAACCAACCCTGTTCTCTTTTTTTGTGTGTGTGTATTTTGTATTGTTCTTTTTAAGATTTCCTGCCCAGGGGTGTTCCTTCCTGACAAGCAAGATGTGTACCTTGGGGTGTACCTCCTGAATCAGTACCTGGAGACAAACTGCTTCCCCTCTGTGTTCCCTATTATGATTCAGCAGAGGATGAGATTTCAAAAGGTGATCTTTGGCTTTCTCCCTGCTACATAGACATGGGAATGTTGCGGTCTGGAGATCATGTTAGTGGTTCTCATAAAGGACACAGGTTTTATAAAGTTGTTTTGCAAATTTCCCAGTTTAAAACATTGCTAGAAGGCCCCTGAGCACGGGGCAGAACCATTAGTTGGAAGACGACGTGCTTTTGCAGCCCAGGTCAGAGCCAAGTTTCTGTCAGCCTAGTGCTAACCACCCTGGTCAATGACGTTTTCTATTCTGGGAACTCCCATGGCACTTTCTAACTGGAGCAGAGAGAGCAGTTTCTGAATGTTCTTGGAGATGTTAGAGGCAGTGGCATGGTATTTACGACAGGGATAATCAATAAACTAGTGGACCTTAGAAACAAACTTTTTAACTAAAAAACAACAACAACAACAAAAAAAACTATAACCAAATTAGTTACATCCTGTATCTGAAATCCAATAACAAAACAAAAAGCCTCCTCAGACTTGAGTTTTCTTAGGCCACACCTGGTTTACTTGTGATAATGATATAAACTAGAGGCCCATGAAATTCGTGCACAGGGAGGGGGTGCCCCTCAGCCCGGCCTGCACCCTCTCGGAATCCGGGACCCCTCGGGGGATGTCTGACTGCTGGTTTAGGTCCAGTCCCTGCAGCCTAACTGGTAGTCGGACATCTCACTTGCAATCCGGGACCACTGGCTCTTAACCACTGGCCTGCCTGCCTGATTGCTCCTAACCACCTCTGCCTCGGCCCCCACCGTGGCAGCTTCATCTGGAAGGTTGTTCGGCTGTCTGGTCTAATTAGCATATTATGCTTTTATTTTTTAGATAGTCAAGAACATGACCAATCTTTCCCCTACTTTGAAATATTAATCACACAATCACAGTCCTTTGAAGTTTTTGTTTTGGAATTTGGAAATTAACCTGATTTATTGAATCTTGATAAATCTGATGGTTTTGCCCCAAACAATATCACTGAGGTGGTTCTTTGGGGGAAGAAGGTGAGTATGGGAAGGCTCCAGGTGGTCCATCACTTTTAAAGGTATGGATGGTGGTGCCCAGAAAATGACCTGTTTTTGCCGAAACTGGTTTGGCTCAGTGGTAGAGCATCGGTCTGCGGACTGAAAGGTCCCAGGTTCGATTCTGGTCAAGGGCATGTACCTTGGTTGCAGGCACATCCCCGGTAGGGGGTGTGCAAGAGGCAACTGGTCGATGTTTCTCTCTCATCGACCTTTCTAGCTCTCTATCTCTCTCCCTTCCTCTCTGTAAAAAATCAATAAAATATATTAAAAAAATAAAAAGATAAAAATGAAGTGATGTCATTAGCAAACTAGAAATGTTCATTAAAAAAAAATGACCTGTTTTGACATGAGACTACTAGAGGAGATGAGGATTGATTGCCTAAAGGGCTAGCGTTATATGTAATATTTTAATACATTACAGTATTAATTTAAATACAGTCTACAAAACTGGTTGGATGATAAAGAAGAGGAACAAATGGATATTACCTTGGAACACTCAGTTAGAATCCAAAGTCGCCCACTTCTACCATTTAAATGTTAGTAGTGGTAAAAAGTGGGTGGTAGAAATCTAGTCTATTTCTCTCCCCCCCCCCCCCCTTAAGAATGTCCTTATGTTATCAATTTTAACTTTGCTGCTATAAAATATTTTTAAAATCTTTTTTTAATATATATTTTATTGATTTTTTTTACAGAGAGGAAGAGAGAGGGACAGAGAATTAGAAACATCGATGAGAGAGAATCATCGATCAGCTGCCTCTTACATAGCCCCTACTGGGGATGTGCCCACAGCCAAGGTACATGCCCTTGACTGGAATCGAACCAGGACCCTTCAGTTCGTAGGCTGATGCTCTATCCAATGAGCCAAATCAGTTTTGGCTAATTTTTTTTTTTTTTTTTTTTTTGTAAGAAGCCCAAAGATACAAAGTCATAGAAGCACAGAGTGATAAATTTGTAAATGACTTTGAGTCATTTAGTCCAGCCTCCTTGACTTGTAGAAGAGGAGAGTGAGCCTCAGAGTGACATTCTGGAGGCCACTATTGCTCTGTTGCAAAGCTGTGCTTATGAGATTACTAGTTAGACATACCATGGAATATTTTTCATCTTATACATTTTAATTAAATAAATGCTATATTTTGTATTTAAAATGCTTTTCTTTAAAATTTGAAAATTGCCCTCTTGTGTGAGCTGATTGGGTTCACATTCCAGCTTTCTTTCAGTTTGCTCCAGTTTTGGCTGTACCTGTTCCATTCTTTTGTTGCAAGTTCTTGCGTCTGTCCCAGCAAGTAGAGAAAACCCTTTCTCCTTGGACCGTCTGTTATTCAGAATTGAATGCTCTAAAGTAGGGGTGTCGAACTCAATCAGAGAAGGGGCCAAAATCTAAAATCCAGCCTAAATCGCAGGCCGAATGGTTTATTGAACAGTCATAAACTGTCACTGTGATGGAAATGCAGCGGAGTGCAGTGATGACAGCGTGGTGCGGGCCACATTGCAAGGCCTGGCGGGACGGATTTGGCCCGCGGGCCTTGTGTTTGACACATGTGCTCTAAAGCATTTGGATAAACACATTACTCCTCAAGACTGCATGAGCCATTGTGTTTGAACAGTTCATGTTGGTCATTTACTCCCTAAGATCATACTTGAGGATATCCTTAGACAGATGAAGTGAAGGGCTGAAATAGTTTGGGGTGGGGGGTGGTGGCGATATCACCCAAATTTGCTTGGTAAATCCAAGTCAGTAACACAAAAATTACAGGGGACAGCCTCATTTTTGTAGTTAAAAATAGACCTAGTTTTGAATTAAGAGCAGAGTTTAACCATGCATAGGTTTAAATACTATTTCAATCAGAACTTTAAAGCCTGAAATTAAACTCTGCTGAAAACTTTTTTATTTTTTATTTTTTTTATAATGCACCAGAATTTGGGAAGAGGGAAATAGTATGCCTTTTATTTCAGTCCTATCCCAGGCCCTTTTAATCTGAAAGACAAAATATGAGAGTTGGCATTGGCTAGACAGATATCCCAGTTATTTTCTGGTGCTTCATGATACACTTAATTTATGAGGCTTTCCCTCTCTCTAGTTATTTTTGAATTTTGTGGGAGTGTAGCTTCTAGCACTTAGCTTTCCTTTTGTGATTCACATAGTTAGAATTTTTATTTATGTGTAGATGTTTTTTAGCACAACCAATTCCTTGACAAGATATAAGTCATTCATTCAGTTAACATTTTATGAATATCTGTGGCATGCAGACTGTGTTTTAGGTATTCAACACTCTTTGAGGTTGATGCCAGATATGCTTTTAGCAACAAACTGTAGGGTTAGGTCAAGTTGATGACATTTTGAGCATGTGGTACATTCAGCTAACTTAGATTTTCCTGGCTCTTGGTATTGTTTTGCTAATTCTCATTCATTTATCCCATAGTCATTTGTTGAACTTTTTTTTTTTTTTTTTTAAATATATTTTATTGATTTTGTACAGAGAGGAAGGGAGAGAGATAGAGAGTTAGAAACATCGATGAGAGAGAGCCATCGATCAGTTGCCTCTTGCACACCCCCTACTGGGGATATGCCCGCAACCAAGGTACATGCCCTTGACCGGAATCGAACCCGGGTCCCTTCAGTCCCCAAGCAGACGCTCTATCCATTGAGCTAAACCGGTTGCGGCCATTTGTTGAACTTTTAACCACATACCTGTTAAAGGTATTTCTGCTGAATTCTAAAATACTATATGGCTGGATTTAATGTGTGTTAATTATTTGGAAGAATGTGATCTATAATTTCTATAAGTATATATTAATGAAACTTTGAAATTTATTTTCCTCATTTTCCTCCCCTGCAGTTATTTGAAAATGCAATAGATCCTGGAGCTGTAGTAGACATTTTAGAAAGTAGGTACTTTTTATCCCTTCTCACCCCCCCCCCCACCCTCCAAATAAAATAGAGAGACTATTATATTGTGTGTCTGTAATTCACAGATATAAAATTCTACTATTTTCTAAGTTGTGATACTTCCATGTTTGATCTATGTTAATATTCAAGAGAATCTGTAAAATTTGAATCACATTTTTTTATTTGATTACAAATTCTTTTCTAGATATAGATGGGATATACTAGAAGGTGCAATTCAACTTGTTTATTTTTTATTTTTTAAAAAGAACAATATATTTAAGTCCCATTTAATTTTACTGTTGAGAATTCAAAGCTGGTTAATTCCGCCTAACCATGGTGCTGTTTAAATTAAATGGGAATTAAATGGATTTTATAGCAGTTTTAAACCTAGTAATTAATGAAAAATTCTGGCAATTTTCTAAACTATTAAAATCTATTTTTTTTTCTTTTGTAGGCATTTTAACCAGGTTTGAATTAATACAGCTAGTGTCTCCAGGTAATGTGCCAGTAAATGCATTTCTAATTTGCTTTTTTTTTTTTTTTTTTTTTTTTTTTTTTTTTTTAAAGTTTAAAAGGATTTTGGCATGACACAATGAGGACTGGTATTTAAAAGCCATCCCTTATATAAAACTCACTATTTCCCACTGCACCTCCTGCGCCCCCCCACCCCCACCCCAAACCACCAGTATGTTTCATTTTGTCCTCTTCCAGAAAAGTAACTTTATGGGTTTGGTGGTTTTTTTACTTTCCATTTTAAAAAATATATA